AAGCATTTTGTATTTCTTGGCCTCTTCATTTCCAGTATACAATTGTGAAATTGGCTCAGAGTGTTTTCTCTTTTTGTGTAATAGAATGTTATTTGTTTTTGTTACTTTTATTGATTGTGATTGTAATGCTTTATTTGGGTTCTTTACTTGTTTTTATTGTATTTAAAGGTGAAAGGGAAGGAATCTTATATATATGTATATAATGAAATGAACTTTAGAAATGAATGGCTCATTTTGTCTAATTTGCAGAATCTTATGAATCTATTATTCTTATTTCGTTTGGGAAAAAGCTCAATAAATTATAGCTTATGCTCGGCTCATGTTTATAAATTTTATATTAAAGCAACTTTTTATCAATCTATTTTGAGGGACCCACAATATAAACAATTCCCAAACACGCTTCACAAATTTCTCAAGCATTGAGCAAGATTTAAATAATAAAAGTGCCAAGAAAAGCATGAAAAGCCAAATCACCTCTTTTATATCTGAAGTAAACTAAGAATCCCCAAAGGGTACATTGGCCTCAAAGCTCAGATTTATTTTCCTGACCCAAAATGTAACTCTTTAATTTAGTAAAACAGAAAAGGGAAAACTTACCAGTCACCAGAGATTCTCTTGGTGACAGGTTATTTCTTCCAGAGTGGGGAAGACCGAATGATAGAAAGTGGGTATGTAAGGTAAGTGAATTTTTTAATCTCTCTCTCTTTTTTTAAAAGCTAAATTACTGTGTTGGCCTTAGATGATAGATCCTTAGCATTTTCATATACAAAGGTTAAATGTCGGGACAAAATTTTCTAATTCGTATATCATTTTTTTTCCGATCAGCATGGGGGCAGCTGCCCCCACTGCGTCCATACAAAATCCTCCTTTTGTATGGAGTCAACGAGTGTAGTTTTTGAAGTTTTATCATATCAATATTTAGTCCTAGCGTTTCTATCTGTTTTGTGAGGAAAATTAGACTGCCTTTGTTGGTACTCAAATAAAATAACACTAGCAGCAGGTGGCAATTTATGGCCCATAAATTAGCCTTGAATTAATATTTTTTGGAGTGGATTACAGGAGTTAATAGTGTTCCTGAATACTATACTTTTTCTCCTTCACTGGACTAAGTTCTTCTCTTCTGAATGTTTTGCTAATTCAGTTTCCCCCCCTTTTTTTTCATTTTTAATGGGCATTAAGATGATATGTGTATTTCGTCAATGGTCGTTGTTGAATTGATCTGTATTATGAGGTTCTACTTGCTATGTCAAATTCATTTATTTTTGGCTGGGAAACTCTTTTTGAGATCCTTGCTGGTTCTTGTTTTACTGGGGTCATGAGTCACCACACCGCATGCTTATGATATATTTGCTTTATTAGTTAACGTGCGCTTTCCAAACTAGGCGTGGCATGCACTGTTGAAATTATATGATTTGGTGCGGTTGAAGGGATCGAGTCTTTGATAGTACATTTAGAAATATCACTATTTAAATATTTCGCGAATCAGTTTGGCTAAGTATTGGCTTTTGAATGCAGGTGATCTGAAATTAATGGTTACCCAAAATATTGGTTTGGATCCTGAGAGGCACAAGCTCTTGTTCAGAGGAAAAGAAAAAGAAGATAATGAACATCTTCAGTTCGCAGGTGTGAAGGATATGTCAAAGGTGTTACTCATGGAGGATATGGCATGCACAGAGGAAAGACCTGTAGAAGTTGTGCAATCAAGTGTGCTTTCAAAAGGAGGTGCTGCTGTTGCTGAAATCAGAAAAGAAGTTGACAAGCTTTCTGAACAGGTTGATCTCTTCTCATTATGTTTTTCTGTTTTTTGTTTTTCCTATTGGCTTCTTTTGTTTCTTTGGACACTGTATAAGTAAGTGGGTTGGTGTTATTGAATAACAGGTGTCTGCATTGCAAGCTGTTGTGGATGGTGGAACCAAGATTGATGATAAGGATATTGTTTATGTAACAGAGATGCTTATGAGACACTTGCTTAAATTGGACAGCATTGAAGCTGAAGGAGAAGGGAAAGTTCAAAGGAAGATGGAGGTTAGTTGTCTACTCTGCATATGTGGTTAAGTTTTGGTTTCAAATGGGAGTATAAGCCTTCTCATCTTTTCTCTACATGTAAAAATGTATTCTGTCTTCTTGAACAATCGCTCATTCACATGGTGACTCCCTATTCCCTAGCCCTTCAATTTCATTGCTAAACCCTCAAATCAATAATGTGAGCTATTCCAGTTTTTCAACATAATTGACCATGTGATATTCATTTTGATAATTAAATAACTTAGTCGCTCTAATTAGAACTTCAAAGTGAATAGGAAATATAAAAGATATTGTCCCAACTCCCAATAGCCTAAATCAACAACTCTGCTTCTGCAGTTCCTTTCTATCACTGCTACTGACCATGTGCACAACCACACAAAATACCTTCCCCATTACCACCCCCATATGAGCATAACCACCAGCACCACCTCCTCCGACTACTACCAGTGTTTATTCAAATCCTCATTACATTACTGTCCCACACCCTGACCACTCAAATTCAAATGCGAAACTTTCTACATCAATCAAATAAATCAAATCTAAACCTGGGATTTCCTTGAACTAATTGAAACCGTCGTACATGTGCAATCCATATCTGAAATCTGCTGGTGGTAGTAATTGTAGAATTTGTTGCTCTCTCAACAATGATATTTAATATTCTCTCGAAACCCCCCAATTGGTGTCATGAGCATAATTGATGTTCCTCTGGAATAGCGAATCATAGTACCGAGATATACGATAGGCTATTGGGCTCTATCTGGCGACATTCAATCTGCTAAAATTAGTTGCTTTTCTTTCTTCCCTATCCAAATCAATTTGATTAGTTTGATGAGTTCACGGGTGTTTCTTTCTGTTCAATTATCAGCATTCGACCTCTTAACAATTGCAGGGTCACTTCTTAATAAAATTGTGTTTCTTATAAACTAAATAAATAACTTGAAGTCACGGTGCAGGAAAGGATAATACATTTGCTGATTAATATGGTTCGCTCTTACTAAATAGATCTCTCAGTTAATTATAGAAGTTACTTCTATACAATCCTGGGTATTTTACCAAGGAAATCTACAGCACTAACATATATAGTTCATTCAGGTGCGCCGTATCCAGAGCTTTGTGGAGACAATGGACATCCTTAAGTCAAAGAACTCCAATCCCTTTAGCAAATGGATGTTAAGACAAAGTCAAAGCTAAGAGTGGGAGACATTTGAATCTGGTTCTGGAAGTGTAAATGCCATGCCCACTGGACCATCTTCTACTAAGGTAACTCAGGATTGGGAACAGTTTGACTAGTCCATTTCTGGATTGTACTATCACATAGTACGGAATAAAAATGCATTAAACACGCCCGTTGTTTTGATATTCAAAGGCTATAGGCGTAGTAAAAATTTTAATGTACAGACCAGTGGTTATTATTACCTATCAATCTCTCATGATGCAAATAGACCTTACCCGTTCTTCGTTTCAATGCTTTAAATAGCCCAATATCTTCCTACAATTAACCATCTAATGCGTTACTTGACATGAATTATCAACAAAGGCAACTTCCATATGAACTTTGAGAATGTTCTGATAATAGGAAATCATGCAAAGATTAATTTAATTTACATGGTCAATAAGAAAAGTCTTGTAATTAACAGCAAGTTCGTCGTGCTGATAATGTGTTACAAATTAGAGATGATAATGGAATATTGTGAGTCAAAACTCCCGTGAATTTTATTGAGAATCAAAAGTTCTATATCTATAGGTATAACCTGGGTTGCATGGATACAATTATTATTTATAAATAATATTTAATTTATAACATTAAGCTCTATAGTCATTAATTTGATTTTTTTTCCACTTAAAAATCATCCCATTTGTTATCTTTTAAAATTTTTAAATGTTAAAAAATAGGATTTTATTCAATTTTGACCCCTAATTTTAGTGTTTTTTTTCCCTTGGATAATATGACAAATAATATACCTGACCAAAATATTTGAACTATGAACCACACAATGTGGTGATACATATCCTTGTGATTATCATTATTTTTGACATCAGTTAACAATTTTCCAGCAAAAACTTTAAACATATTCGCCTTTTACTTTAAATTGCAACTCAGCTCTAGCTTAACTTGTACTACGCTATTTCATATTGTTCTAACACAAATTACCCACAAACAACTGGTATTTTGTGGCGTGGAATAATTGAACGTACTCCAGTGTGTGATATTCTATTAGCAAAGGGTCTAGTTCTAATTGCAATTATAAGAGAAAATTAATACAAAACGAAGCCAAAAAATTGCAATGCACAGTCACAAAAGTTAATAGTGAATAACTTTCCATGTGCGAATTATGTCTATATTTTCATTATAACGAAGAAAAAAGTAACAAAGGGTCTCAGTCCTCTCTAATCACAAATAACGACTTCTCCGTATACGAGTTAAAAATATGAATAGATTTCAAACAACATGCAATGGCGTATTGAAGCAGAAAAAAAATATTTGTACTACTTGACATTAAAAACCCTAATTATTCTCTTCTTATTTGCATGAAATTTTCACTTAATATATTATGTTTCTCAAATTCCCTCCATGGCTAATTATATTAGTTAAGAGCATTCTTGATTGTGTTTAAATGTAAATTGAACTTAGTTTTAAAGTCTTTTATTTGTTTAGTAACAAAGTTTACCTTGGCAGACCTGCTAGACAATTCAGTTAGTCCAAAAGAGAAAAAACTTTATTCTGAACACTCTCCAATGAAGCATCAACCGGATATTCAATGCTAATGGATAAACCATACATACATGTCCGGTGGGATGAACAAACAGGACAAAATTGAGGAAAAATTAAGCTAAAAATCTTGTCTATAGTAGTGTCCAACAATATTCAATACGAAATACCAAATATGCCCTATAATATTCATGCTACAACACAAGAAGAAAATTATGCATTCCATGAACAAGTACCTCAAGATCTCACTTAGAATTACCCTAATTCATAGAGTCAGATCCAGAGTACTTGCCCCTCTTGCTTTTTCAGTACTATTATCTTCTTTAAAGTACTTAAGCTTTGAGAATGATGTAGTGTGCAACGACAGGGATAAGTTGTTTTCATCATTCTTTGATTCTCCCCCAAGTGATAAATTCAAATCCAGGTCAGAACCTGTGCCCAGTTTTCTCTTTAAAGTTGTCTGCTTTTGGAAATTCGTTGGGCTGTCGAGATTCTTAAAACCAGCGTTCTTAAGATTATAGAGCTCCGCAGAAAGGGAAGGACAGGTCACCTCCTGATTTTGACGGAATCTTCGAATATTGGTACTGATTTGCTCTTGAAACTGTTCGTCGACAGGGTTTTGTCTTGCTTGACCTGGCCAGGATCCAAATTGATCATCTTTTAATTCATGGACGTGCCTAACTGAGTCTTCATTGGAAAATGAAATTCTTGTGCAAAAACAATGATTTGCTAAACCATTACAATGTCTGTTCAAGATCCTTTCCGTGTCTGTATTATAACATCCGGGTCGGGTTTTGTTAAGTGCATGTTGCCCCATTGTAGAGTGTTGCATCCATTTTCCATTGCCATTCCAAGAAGCATCTGCATATCTGGAGAAAATCTTTGAATCTTGATGAGTGAGTATACTATAATTAATTAACTTCATCATGTGCATATTTAGTGCGCCATACAGCACTCAATTAGTTGACAGCATAATAAACAAGATATTAACTTAATTTCGTTCTTTAACACTGTCTCGACTCTCGTGCTATCCAATACTCTATCAAACATGTCTCTACACAATTAATGAACCCTAAATTATGAAATCTGCTTGTAAATTAAGACACATGCCTTTGATTAAAACTTGGAAGAAGGGGAAGCTGCCTTAGATTGTAGATATTCCGATCTGCACGACCCGTCAAAAGTGTTTGATCTTCCATCCCTATATGACACAGAAGAATTTTATAAGCTACTAAAATGAAAACCCTAATTGATACTCAATTATAAAAAAATTAGGGTACCTTGATCAGTGGGCTCATCAATCTTCTTGTTTCTATACATCTGTTTGAACATCCAAAATAACAAATTATGATGGAATTAAACTTATAATAATCTTTTCCAATTTCCATTAAAGGAGTAATTAAATCTATACATATTTTTCTTCCGTTATCGAAAATTTTGCTATGTTTACCTGTAAATGGCTCTTGATATGAGCGATATTGAGCTCTTTGATTTTCATCAATTGAAGTACCATCTTTGGCGTCGCTCCTGCACAAGAAATGATCAAATTAAAGATTAAAATCAAGTAAATAAAAACCATTCCCAATTATAATCCCAAGAAATTATATGAACTCCAGACAATTAGTTAAAACTCACTATCTTGTCCACCAAGTTTCTCTACAGCATGAACAAATCGCCAATGAAGCTCGGGTGTCCACCGGAGTCGAGGTGTCTTGGATCGAGCATAAGGCCTCACGGTCAGCTTGATGTTATCGCTTTCTTCAACTGTACTATTGCTTGAACTTCGCACTCCATCTTTCGTCTTGTAAAATTCATAAATAATTTTATTCTCAGTACTTTCATCCTCGTCATCGTTTTTCGCAGAAGGGCTCGTCTTGGAGCATTCCGTGTCACCACTAATTCCCTCCATCTTTTAATTAGTTACCTTCACTCTTCGACGTATTTCTTGAAATTATCCTATCATCTATGCACCAACTAGTTTAGCTCGAAAAGGATGATTTATATAATTATATCAACCGTGCTACAGAATATTGACCACCTACGGCTCAATAGACTGTATACATCAAAACCCTAGATCAGGAGAGGAAGATAGAAGACTCTCTCTCTCTTCCTTTGTTTCTCTCTCTAACAATAATTTAGAGGAAATCCATAGGAATCTGACAAGTAAATGTGTGAGTAAATATTTTATATATGCATGATCACTACTCATTGGATGCAAGCATGCATCTATATGTGCATGATGCTATACAGCACTCATGCGATGAGGGCCAGATCACAATCGTCCACCTTGTTTAGAAAAGCAATTTTCTCATGAAAATAAGTATTTTTGTATTAAAAAACGACTTAAAACTGCTGCCATGGTCTTTTCTTAGACCTAGAACCGAGTTTGTCTTTTGTGGACTAGTTCAACCTGTGTTTATATCTTTTTTTTTTCTAATATCGAAAGGACTGCAAAACCCAGAAATTTGGTTCCAAATAAGTTCAAAGTAAACTTTTCTTACAATTTTGTCTGTTTATAATTGGATAGACAAACCTCGAGACCAACCAATTTTCTGCAGTAAACCAAGATAAAGTTGAAACATTTTATGTATATGCCATCAAAACCGAGAGATTCTAACGTCAAACAATGGCTTATAAAAGTCTTCTAAGCAATTTCACTCACATTTACTGTATATACAAGACAATATTCCTGGAATCGTCACCCCCTAGTAACTCACCCTGACCCTAATCAGATATAGTGACATGGCTGTAAGAAACTGTCATGGAATGTTATTCTAAAGAAAAAAAAAAAGAAAAAAATTGCATGTTTGCAGCTACCATTGCGTCGGGAATCACGGGGTTTGTTCTTATACTCATCCTGGGACCTAATATTTATTTTCCTCACTCTACACGAATAACACCAATATTGTTATAAATACACGTAATGTATCCCCACTTAATTAATTTTCTATTTTGGGTTTGTACATAGTTGACAACTTGATTTTAGGGGTTGTATAATAAATTAGAGGATTGTGGTACATTATTTCAAATTAGTTATATTATTTTAGTTAAAAAATACTTTTTTATTGGACCAACAAAATCATCGGTTGACCGGACATTTTGAGTCAAATAATGAACTTGGGCTTGGGCATTGCTCGTGCTTTTTTTTGTCAATATTCTAGAATTAAATTTTGAGACTATTTTGTCAATGATCAAGACAAGTCAATGTTTCTAGTAAAAATTTAGTATAAATTTTAATGTTATTTATAACCTCAATTTCTTATTTTTTTAATGTTTTCAAGAAAGAAAAAAGGGTTTTTGGACATTATATTCTTTCGGCATATTTGTCACATAATCAATTTCCATTAAATATGGGTTTTTTTTTGGATTGGACAAGATCATGGACAACATTATATGAAAAAAAAAGGGACTTGAATTCCTAATCATATGAAAAAAAAAGAGGAAATTGTGGAAGGCTAACAAGTCAATAGGATTAAAATTACATATAATTGCAATGTTCCTTAATTAAATGACGTGAAAAGGAAAAAAAATAAATAAATAAGATTTTTGTTTAGCTAATTTTTAGCTCGAAATAAGCCCTTTCACATTTATATTTCCAAGTTGGTGACCTACTCTCCGAAAACTTAGAAAAACACAATGAAAGTAACATATTACTAATTTATAAGTTGTTCACAACCTAGTTATGCATTTCATTTAAGTTATATAAACAAGTTCAAGCTAAATATTTCGTATAGTCTAAGAGTATTGCAAAATTTTCTTCATTTTAATAAAAATTCGTGTGAATGTGCGCATATATGAGAGGTTGTGTGATATCGCTAAAAGTTGATAAAAGCTGATGAATTCTATAAAATTTGTGATAAAAAGTGAATAAAAGTTGTGGATCCGAGATTAGGTTCCATAGGAATGTGTTGCTATTAATGCGGATCTACATCATCAAAGAATGAGTATGTCTGTCTCTGTATTCATATATTTATAGAATATGTTTAAATACATGCATCATTAGTTCATCACGCTTACATACATATATACATACATACATACATGCATGCAAATACGGAATGGAGAATGCAATTTATTTTTCTTTTCTTTTTATTCTTTCACCATCAATTCGTTACACGATTTTCCAAATTGCATTTTATATATTTTACGTATAATACAAGCCAATTATTCTCTTTCGATAAATTTTTTAATTATTGATTTTATTAAGTTCGTAAATTCACTGGGTGCTGACGTTCTTAAAGAGCCATTTATTCTTTTATTGCATAGATACGAAATATATAGTGATATAAAAGAAAAAATAATCCATGGAAATTTTTTAAGCCATTGCTAATAAGTTATAACAGTGAAATATAAGCACTATAATTAATTTTATTCATCATCTTCCCCACTGTAATTGGGAAAAGTGCGGTCTTCAATATTTGATGCAACACTACGAGTCAAAATTGGCAATTCCTAGCTTCTAGAGATAGTAAAAGAAATACTTGTCAAATTTTCCTGTGGTCAAGACAGTTATTACCTGTCCAAATAAATTATTATTTTTGTCCTTTTCGAAATAAACACGTAATTTACTGATTCTTGTTCCTAGAAAAAAGTTTGAATTTACCTTGCTGCTAGACAATCAATATGGGCAATTCGAACGTAATAATTATATTATAAAGTAAAATTGTGTGCACAGTGAAGGAACGTTGCGAAAGAAACATTAAAAATGTTGTCAAATTTTGATTATGTTAACCAATAACAACGCATACAATTCGTTCCCTTTTGCTTATTGCAAAATGCTTGCCATGGTTGAAGGGTTGAAGTAAATCAAAATTGGGGCAGGAAAACATCTTCCAAATAAGACCATTTTTCTCTTGAATTAGCGAGTGATCTTATTCTTCACAACCGGGGGACTATAATCCTTTATCACCGAAGATTAGACCCAAGAATAGGCATACCCTGATGTTTAAATGATTCTTGACATCATTCTCTTCTCCATTAAAGAATCGAACGCCAAAATTCCAACTATGGTATCAACTTGGTGCAACCATTTTTTTGAAGTAATAGTTACTACTTAGTAGGAGAGACGTTATCAAACACTTTATCGACCATGATCAAATCTGATTATCCACATCAAGCCTTAAAAGTTTGATGCCATCCCCCTTACAAAATAGGCCTACCCTCATATTCAAGTGATGCTTTATGATAAGTGTATTTTATACACTTATTTGAGGTATAAAATATCGATATTTGACAATTTTTTGATCAAATATATCCTAAATTTTTGTATTTTATGTTATATAAGTTAAACTCAATGGTTGAACGGGAATTGGAAGAAACAAAAGAAAATCAAGGAAAAGGGAAAAGTCCAAAATTTGAGGACCAAATTACAAATATTCAATAGTTGATTCGTGAAAAAATCGGGTGTTACACTGGATACCACTTAACAGTTCACAGATTATCAATTTAACGACATTTAAGTTATCGAATGGTTGTTACTTATCTGTTTTTAGTTTTGACACTACGTGCGAAATTAATCATACAAAAAGCAATAAGTCACTTTTAATTGTTTCTAAATGATTTAGCATACAAGTTCAGTTATCCTACTTTTGAATATCATAGTAATAAGGAAATCAGTAAATAACATATTGTGACGGAGAAACCCAATTAGGTAAAAACTCAGAGACCAAGCTAGTTACCTCCACTATAGACAATATATAGTGAGTTACAGTCAGATGATATCTAGCCAACTCCATTAGACTTCCCGAACTATTTCATGCTAACTCAAAGGTTTGCTCCAAGACTTGTTCCAAGATCTGCTCCAAGATCTTTTGCCATTGTCTCTTTAAAGTGGAATTCCAAGAACCTGCTCCAATGCCTTGTGTCCTTCCTGTGCTTGTAGCCCAACCTCCAGTAACCTCTGAAATTCAACTGAGAAAGTACGTTCCTATGACCAATAGGAAGTAAGTGGTGTTTCAGATTCAATAGGTTTGATATTTTTTTCCAAATATGTGATTGTATAAAATCAAGAGTGAAATGATGAAATCAATGTATGAATATGCTCTTAAATATGTTATAGAAAAAATGTACAATGAACAACCATACAATTTTTGTGCATAGATTTGGGTATTTATAGGAGAGGGTAATTAGATTGAATAGGTCGAAAAAAATATTTCAAAATAGCAAATTATAGTTTTTTGGATCGACATGTCGCTCGAGTGAGAAGCTGGAGGCAGGCGAGTGACGCACTGTCACTCGAGCGAGATCTTGATGACAGCGGGTGACATACATTCTATTTTTATCGCTCAAGTGCCAACTAGGTGAGAAATTAGCAAAAATGCGGAGCCGTATTTCTCCGTTTTTCATGCTCAAACCCTAGTCCTCATAACCAAATTTATACAAAAAACTTAGCAATTCGGACTACAAGATGATACTTTGAAAGTTTTTAAGAGAAAATTAGATGAAATTAGAACTAAAAAGGAATAGAATATGATCAAAATCAATTCCCATCGCATAAGTTATATTTCAAATTTTTAGTCAAAAATTGAAATTCATTTTTGGCATAGTAAACGTCCAAATTGAAAAATTTATGTTTCTATAAAAGTTGTATCCCTTTGAGTTAGCTTTCCAACCTACTTTAAATCGTCTCAATCGGATATCGGAAAAGAAAATTATTACCAAAATACTGAAAACTGTGCAGAGACAAAATCCGCGAGTGAATGCAACTTTTTTTATTCGATTGGAATTCTTTTGGAAACCAATTTTGATGTGATTTTCAACCAATTTTATACTTCTACAAATACCTAACAGCAGAATAAATATATACATCTTATACTCCAATATTCATCAATTATTATCATTAAATGAGGAGAATTCATAATTTTCGTGAGAGCATTGAGGGGGACTTACAAGAATTCAATCAAATGATAA